AAATCTTTTTGTTGCTAAGAAATATTTTATAGGTACACAGTACACAACAACAACCTCTTTTAAGGACGACTCTGCAGACATAACCGGAAACCCTTAGAGGATTTTTCGCATGTATCCCAGCCAGTGAGTCTACGTCTCAGTGAGATGTCATGAGGTTACATTCACAAACTGAGAAACTCATTTATGCTATGTTTAATATAAAGCTTTTATTATTCTACTCAATTGATGTTAGTAGCTACTAAAAGAGAATTTCATCTTATTTTTTTTATTATCTTACCCAACAATTTTCCAAACACGAATAACGTTTAATTATTTTTAATAGATTCATTTCTAGGTAAAATTTATCAATACATATAATAAAATTGTACTTAAGCCGAATCTGTCCATTAAATATTTTTTGGAAAATCTTATTGAAATAAACATTATTATCGATACAGAGGCCGAATCTACAGTTTTTAGAATTTTTGTCTGTCTGTCTGTTACCGCATCACAGAAAAACCACTGGAGGGATTTTGATTACATTTGGTATGGTGAATGCTGGTTATCCAGGTCAACATATAGGATACTTTTTATCGCGGGAAAATGTATTATTTCTGAGAAAAAATACAAAAACTGCAATGTAAGAGTATACTAATATGTAATACCTAAGAATTTGATTTTTGGTCACCTGAACGCGGGCCGAGCCGCGGACAGTGCTAGTATTTAATAAAAACACATGCGCTGTTCTAAAATGTTATGTTTTCTATAATGTTTCTACAAGTAAGCAAAGCCGCGAAAAGCTGCAATTCATATATAATATAAAGCTAAAAAGATTGTTATGTTTACTACTCCAATTTGAAAGGTTGTTTTTCGATATTATACTTTATTTGTTGGGGAAGGTTATCAAGGAACAAGACCCGATTGTATCAAAATCATCCTGAATAAATACTAAGTAATGAAAATCTTTACTTAAATATAATATCTCTCATAGCCTCTATGCTTTAAAGGAAAATCTTACAAATATTACAAAAGGAGTGGAAACGAAATGCATTTCTACATAAAGATATTTCGATTTCATTCAGATCCCTTTTCATGAAGGCCCTATCTATAGAAATAACAAGCATTCTCTCTTTGAAACGTTGAAATTTGAAGTTGTTTTTATGATAATTATGATATACGTAGTCATACTCATATCTATACCTATTATAAAAGTCCTCCGCGGCTTCTGTCTGTCTGAACGCGATAAACTCAAAAAGTACTTAACAGATTTTCATTAGGTATAATTCATTAATTTTTTTGTGTAAATTGGCTGAAATATGAAGATGATTGCTGAAAATGTCGGAAAAAAGCATGCTGACTGGGAGCGTTATTGGCGTACGCCGCGTAAACTAATAAAGTTATATGAAAACAATGTATTACAGAATTATTCCCCTTAAAATGATTTTCCTATTAAACTGTAGGGATGGACCCGATGGTAATTTCTAGTTAATATATAAAAAAGTTTCAAAGAAATGAACACTAATATCGCCTTTCTCTTTCCATTATAATTTATTTTTTCTTATTAGATTCCTTTTATTAATTATAATAATATTTCATACTAACTCGATATTATTAAATGAAAAGTACTGAACTGAACCATAAATTGTATTTATTACTTTCTTAGATTTTTCGGATCCTTTGCTGATGTCATTTGATTTTTGGTTTCCGATGTTTCAAACAGACGAACAAAAGGTTGATCTTTGCCATCATGCTAGAAACTAAGAGCTCGATATGTACATATATATCGTTCAATTACATTGTGAAAATACGTGGTACAATTCTGTTATAGTTTTCTAGGCATTACATAAATAGTCTAGCGCCTAAATGATGTGCAATTTGGTCAAATTGTTTCTCGTAGCATCGGCGCTACGTACTCGTATATCTAGACATCTCTCTCATATCTCACTCTAATGATTTTTGTATAGTGCCCTAATTGTAAATCTCATTAACGTTAAAGTTCAATTTTCCAGACTTTGCGAACTCCCAATGAAGTGTCTATTAAGGACTGAAAGACTGCTATGTTTTCACGATTATCTATACATGTAATAAAATTGTAACTAAGCCGAACCTGTACATTAAATATCTTTTGGAAAATCTTATTGAAATAAACATTATTATCGATACAGAGGCCGAATCTATAGTTTTTAGAATTTTTGTCTATTCGTCCGTCTGTCTGTCTGTCTGTCTGTTACCGCATTACGGAATAACCAGTGGAGGTATTTTGATGAAATTTAATATGATGATAGCTGGTTTCTGGGTCAACATAAAGAATACTTTTTACTGCGGGAAAATATCTCATCTCTGAGAAACCTATACTAAGCGTGAAAAGTAAATAGGGACGAACCTGAGCGAAGCGAGGGTGAGTCGCTAGTTGAAATTATATTTTTGCAAACATACATGAGCTTATTATTATTTTTTATGTTTATTATTAATACTATTTGAGGTAATTACCGAGATAAAAAGTATCATATTGTTTATATACTAATTATACAAAAATACACAATACATATGTATAAATATCTGTTGCTTCGATGAAGAAAGCCTAACAAACAACACATTGTAAGACTAGAAGAATAAATTAATCGAGAGAGACCCAAATAAAACTTTTTCGCAGCTCTATTTTTTTATAGTTTTTTGTGTCAGGAAAGAAACCTAGTGAAAGTAAGTCTCTGCACTTGAAACTTCGGCAATAAAAAATCAAATTAATCATGAAAAATTGAAACACAAATGTTTTATTATCTATACATACATACCTATAACAAAATTCTAACTGAGTTGAATCTGTACATTAAATATTTTTTGGAAACTTTTATTGAAATAGTCATTATTATCAATACAGAGGCCGAATCTATGGTTTTTAGAATTTTTGTCTGTCTGTCTGGGATCACGAGAAAACCACGGTGTCCGGTTATATCCGGATCAACATATAGGATACTTTTTACTGCGGGAAAATGTCTCATCTCAGAGAAATCTATACTAATCATTAAAATGTGTCCAATATTCGCGTAAATCTAAGAACATATAAATGAATAGCTTTAAAGCTTATTTATTCACTCACATCCATTCCTACGTAAAAGTCTAATACAATTATCCACTTCGTACAGAAAGGCATTATACAACCTTCTATCCAACATTTCGAAGTGCAGAGCGAAGGAAAGCGAGCTTAAGAATTTATATTAAAATATTTTACACAATTGCAACTGCATTCATGGTTTTATTCTACAGTTTAATTAATAACTAGCTTATGCCTACGGCTACATAGTGGTTTACTATATCTATAGGTACTAATATTATAAAGAGGCAGAGTTTATTTGTTTGAACGCGCTAATCCCAGGAACTATTATCCCGATTGATGATGAAATATTCTTTTTCATTGCTCCTTCAGTAAATATATATTAATATATAAATAAAGCGGAAGATTTTGATTGTTAGTTTGAACGCTCTAATACAACATGGATCTACTGGTCCGATTTGGAAAATTTTTTTTTGAGCTTTATGGCCTATTTATTGAGGAAGACTAGGTTTTTCTCCACTCACTTCAGTCTTACATCTACGAGAGCGGAATAGTGCTACAAAATACAACAATGGGGGTGGAGTTGCGAGAAAATGCTAATAGGCTATAAATAATGCAATAATAATTTTGTAAATCTGGGCAGTGATCCTGTAGTTTGGTAGTTTTTCCTGTCGGTCTGGTAGTTTTTGTTTCTGTTTCCAAAATGTACTGATTGATAATACTAAGGCTCATCAATAAATACTAAAAAAAGAAGAAAATCAGTTGACAAACATAGGATAAAAAGGTACTGAACCGTTTTTCTTTGCCTATTTATGCATAGAGTAGGTACGTTTTAACAGTTAGTATAGATTTATCAGAGATCAGATATTTTCCCACAGTAAAAAGTATTCTATATTAAGTTGACCCGGATAACCAGCTATCATCATACCAAATTTCATCAATATTTGTCCAGTGGTTTTCTCGTGATGCGTTCCCAGGCAGACAGACAGACAAACAAAAAATCTAAAAACTAAAGATTTGACCTTTGTATCGATAATAATGACTATTTTAATAAGATTTTTCAGACAATATTTAATGTAGAGATTTGACTCAGAATTTTATTATATGTATAGATATCATTACTTAATAATGTAACAATAGTTGTAAATTAAGGGCGGAAATAAAGAATGATTAGGCTTTTTAATTACTCCCGTCTATATTTTACAGAACATAATTTACATTTAAAATTATACCTCAACATTTCATTTAGTACAATACGCCTTAATATTCTTTTTCTTTCCTATGAATTTCTAAAAGAAAATCTTATGTTAATGAGTACATTCTGAAAATTCTTGCTAGGAAATTATAAACACAAAATTCCGTTTCTTGCTTTTCAGAAATCTCAAATGTGTTTCTTTGACTGACGCGTTGTAGCACTTGTCGAGATTTTATTTAACTTCATTTCGCATAAACTCTAGCTCTTTGACACTATATATTTCAATTTACTAAAACAAGAAAAAGCTTTTCCGCATTTCTCTGTAGAATTATAATATAGATACATAATTCAAATAGAAAATATATTCAAAGTCAGCATTAAAATTCAAAAATATCTAACTTAACAGATAATATTTGCCTCACACATTTTAATTTTATAGAACCTCTAGAATATTTGTAATGATTCGATTCGAACTCTTTTGATATTTGAACTTTTTGTTTTAAAATCGATTACAAATGGGTGCATACCTACAAATGACCTTTTTTTTATTTAGGGACTTTTTAAGCACAAGACGAAAATGTCAGTCAACAACCGTTTGGAAATTTAATCCCACACTCGGCCTTTTAACAAGAGAAAACTTTGAAACTATATATAATCTCTTATTAATTGTAGAAAATCAAACCGACTACATATAGCATATATATATATATATATATATATATATATATATATATATATATATAAAAATTATTAATTAATGAAATTTTGTTACAGAGAGTCTTACCCACTCACGCCTTTACCAGATGACGTTGGAGGAGGTGTAATAACTGAGGGTCCCTACTTGATCCTCGCGATGTGGACACCAAAGGGTCATGGTCTCATCACTGTAAAAGACTACGACATATTCTATCGACCAGCTCCAAGATCTTCAACTGGGTATAGAGTCACCGATACTGGTATTCCTGGCAGAATTTTCAATGGTGTACCTGATTGGTTATATGAAGGTAAGATCCATATTTCACATAGTTTTTTTAATTTTGAGATGCATTTTAAAGATTATTATATAGTTTTTTTTGTAAAATATATTACTTTTTACAAGGATCTAATATTATGACTAAGATTTCCCCTTAACATTTTAAGATTCACTCTCTTGCCTATAATGTTTTCTATACAAATATCTACATTACCCAGTTATTGCTTTAAAGTAGTACAAACTTACAAAATAATTTTTTCCATTAGTAATGGTGTTACTTGATCACTTTACGGACCAAGATAATACAAATAACTTACATCCCTCTAAGTTACAGCTTACTGCATTAATCGTATGGTATGGAATAAATAAGTTTTAAGCATAGATTTAGTATGTATAACTAAAAATAGGTGGTGCAGTAGCTAGCATGTACGCCTGCATATCGGGAGGTCCTATGTTCGAGTCCCTGGTTGGGCCAAGTTTTAGTCTTTCTGTTTAGTAAGCCTCGGTAACAATCGGGAGTTGGAAAGTTGGCGGTGTTTCACCCCCGTGCCTCGGTGAGCACGTAAAACCATCGGTCCTGCGCCTTAACTCTCACCGGTCGTGTGGAGTAGTCGTCCCACCGAAGTATGAGAGTGACAGGAATAGAGAGTGCACTTGTATATACTTATTATGTAATATCTCCTGCGCAGTTGGCTAGTTTCAATGAGATTGGCCACCGTGGTCGGAAACGGTCAGAAGAACTTATTATAATAACTAAAACTATTAAGATTTGTAAATACTAGTTCAATCTTGTTCACAATACCGAAATAAAGCCTGTAATAGACAATTAGTAGTCAATTTTACTCTGTTTCATACCAATACCCTACCAATACCAGTGAGTAAGATCTACAGACAGCGTTCGGTGGGAAGGAATTTCTGAATTCACTTCAACTTGAAGATGCCTTCCCTTCTCAGTTATTTAAAGCATCTTCTAATGACAAACCACTGTTTCTAATATACACATTGTTAGAGAAATTATACACTAAAAGAAGATCTCTAAAAGCCAATTTCATTACTTAATATTTTAAATACGAATGTGTAATGTATATAAACGCTTTTGTTACTTACGAAAGCTTCATCACAATATGATTAATGGTGCTAGAAATGCATAGAATATAAACATACAAACATTCATTTTTATTTATAGGATACATTATAGTAACACATACGAGTAGGTTATAAGTTTTAACTACTACTACTAGGCCTTTGCGTCTATTCCAGACGATTTATGGTGCAATGTTGGAGATACACCTCTTTTGGTGGCTGTATAGACCGATGCGAGAGCTACATGTCCTACCGCAGACCTGACAGGAGAAGTTTGCGACGGATGGTACTGAGTCGCCTTGACGTCGTCTTTGTCTCTTTTTAGCAAGTGTCGCGAACCCGGTCTCATCGCAGAACTTGCGACCCTCCATAATACTTTTGCGCCACTCCGTTCGATTTTCTGCAAGTCTTTCCCAGTTTCGGTGGTCAATTTTAAAAGTAACCATGTCTCTCTTGGCGCAGTCTTTAAAGCGAAGCAGTGGCCTCCCTACGTTTATTTTTGCGTTCGCAATCGCACCAAGAAGTACACGTCGTGGTAATCGAGACTGTTCCATTCTGTGCACATGCCCGAGCCAGCGCAAACGTTTCTGTTTTAGAAGCGCGGTCAAACTAGGTAGTTGTGCAATTTCTAGAACTCTCTCGTTTGTCACCCTGTCTTGCCATGAGATGTCCAAGATTTTACGAAGGCAACGCATGTAAAAAGAGTTTATTCGACGTTCGACCTTTGCATACGTTGTCCAGGTTTCAGCTCCGTACAAGAGTATGCTTATAATGGAGGCTTGAAAGACTAACACTTTGGTCTTGGTGGTTAGATATTTGTTTTGCCATACTCTAGTACTAAGCTTCCCGAACATGGTCGCTGCTTTACCGATGCGAATGTCAACCTCTGCATCCAGCGACAGATTGTTCGTTACGGTTGACCCTAGGTAACAAAATCTGTCAACTACCTCTAGCAGCGTACCATTGAGCGAAATTGCTGGGGCCTTAGAAGTGCCTTGTGCTAACACAACTGTCTTCTTTGCGTTTATGGACATGGTGAACAGGGAACAAGCCCGTGAGAATTGATTCACCATATACTGGAGCTCACGTTCGGAATTAGCAACGAAAGCCGCGTCATCGGCATAAAGAAGGCTATCGATGAAAAGATTCTCGCGGCTTCTTTTGGATTTGAGTAGTGAGATGTTAAGCATCCTTCCATCGGTTCTTGTATGTAGATGTATACCCTGTTGATTTTCGTCAAAAGCGGTGCGCAATATGAGCGAAAAATATATACCAAACAGGGTAGGAGCCAAGACGCAGCCCTGTCGAACACCTCTGGAAACATCAAACGGCTTAGATGTTTTACCGCTTAAAACTACTGTGCCCTTCATGTCTTCATGAAAAGATGCAACCAGTCTCAGGAGTTTAGGCGGGCACCCAATACTCTCAAGCGCCGTGTACAAGCCCTTTCTGCTGACCGTATCGAAGGCCTTATTAAGGTCAACGAAAGCTACTACTAAGGGACAGTTTTGTTCTCGACACTTCTCCTGTATTTAGCGAAGTGTGAAAATCATATCCACTGTCGAACGGTTGGAGCGGAAACCACATTGTGACTCAGGATAGATACGTTCAGCAAGCTTTTGGAGTCTTGATAGAACGACTAGACCAAAAAGCTTGCCAACTATGCTCAAAAGAGAGATACCGCGAAAATTGTTACAGTCGCCGCGATCACCTTTCCCTTTGTATAATGTGATGATGTTAGCGTCCCGCATATCCTGAGGCACATGCCCCGCTTCCCAACATTTGCACAATAGATTATGCAGGATTGGTTTCACGCATTCGAGCTTTAATATTTCAGCATGGATGCCGTCGCCGCCGGGACTCTTACCGCGCTTAAGCCGATTGACAGCCTTGGTGAAATCCTCTACAGACGGTAGATCATCTAACTCATTCAATACACCCAGTTTTGGTATGCTCTGTGTCGCCTCCGGATGTATGATTACTGGACTTGAGTAGAGATCGGTATAGTGCTCGACCCAACGATCAAGCTGTTTTTGGCTGTCAACAATGACAGTGCCATTTGCGTCCTTTAGAGGGGCTGTCTTTTTTGAAACGGGTCCGAGAACGCGTTTAATACCCTCATATACACCACCTATGTTTCCACTGTCCGCACACATCTGTATATTGCGACCAAGATCCGACCAGTATAAGTTGGCAAAGTATCGTGTACTTCGTTGAAGAGAAGTTTTAGCTGTTCGAAGTGCTTTATCAGTTACTGGACAGGGATTCATACGGTGCCTAAGTGCGGCATTCCGCTTTGAGTCTAAAAGAGGTTGTAGGTACTCAACGTTGTCCTCGAACCAGTCCTGAGACTTGGTCCTCACACATCCGAAAACCTCAGTGGCGCTATCAGTCAGTAGTTTTTTTGCTTTATTCCACTCGACGCCTATCGGTGTATTGGCATCCCAATCAGCAAGTTCTTTATTTGCCAAGCACTCAAACTGTCGGACTTTTTCATCATCCCGGGTATTAGAAAGATTTATCTTCCTCCTACCCAGCGTTTTAGATGAATGTATCCTTTTATGAGCTATGGCAACTTGTGCTGCTACCAGAGAGTGGTTGGTGTCACAGTCGGCGCTATGGAATGTACGAGTGTGAAGGAAATCGCGGAGGTCTTTGGATCTCGTTAGTATCACGTCTAATTGATGCCAGTGGCCTGATCGCGGGTGCTTCCATGACACTTTTCGGGACAGCTTGCCCTTAAAATATGTATTGGTTACGCATAGCAGGTATTCAGAACAGAACTCCAGTAAACGTCGGCCATTGTCATTAATATTGCCGATTCCATGGTAACCAATACAATCAGGCCATGCGGAATGATCCCGTCCCACCCGGGAATTGAAGTCACCCAAGATGTACAGGCGATCACTACTAGAAACAGTTTTCACCGTCTCGGTCAGTTGGTTATAAAAATACTCTTTTGACTCGTCCGAAGATTTTAATGTCGGAGCATAAGCAGCAATTAGGGTAACATGACCGAGACTGCTCTTTAGTCTTAAGACCATTATGCGTTCCGAAACGCCGCATAGAGTTTCAATGGCGGAAAGTATATCGTTTCGGACCGCAAAACCAACACCGTGTTCACGAGCATCGCCAAAGTCTTTTCCTTTCCAAAAGAACTTGTAAGAGGACTCCTGCAACGAGCCTTCGTCGGGTAATCTGGTCTCTTGCAAAGCGCAGACAGAGATGTTAAGCCTGCTCAGCTCTGCATCTATCACGGCAGTTTTACGCAGATGTTGTGCGTATCCGTAACCTCCACAGGTGTCCGGGAGGCCTGTCCTCATAGTACGGACATTCCATGTTGCAATGCGCATGGCTTGGCGAGGTGGGTTTTTATAAAACTGCTTTGTAAAACCAGGTGTGGAAGTTAACGACACCAGCCGTCTAGCCAGGAGCTAGTGCTCCCTACACCTCAAGGGAGCAAGCTGGCAACGGGACGGATTGGTACCTTATTGTCCGGGGGCTGCCCAGATTGAAGCGGGCGGTAACCAATCGATGGGTCTTCGATGGACCCTCCCACTGTCGAAAGTGACCCCTAGCGCCTGCACTTACGCCCATCTGTGCAAGACTTATAACTGGTAACTGCCACTTCCCGTGTTGTTGTCCGTACAGCTACGCTGCCGTGGGTGGAGTGACCTCTCCACAGACATTACACCGCCTGGGACGGAATTAAGGAAACACAGGGATGCCCAGCACCTGCATTACCCTCTCGGCCTCGTTGGCTTATCCCACAGGAAAGGCGAGCCAATACGTGTGGAGCCAAGTCGGCTGCAGAAATCTGCCGCATATTTCGGGTTGGACCCTACTCGCGTCTTACGGTGATTCCGCTCCGGGTTTTATTTTGGAATTTTCCTTCTCCTAGATGGGTTGCAAACCAATGCTTAGAGGCCCATCTCCCCTACACTGAAG